ATGTACACAACTTCTAAATACACAAAATAATGTTGGAAAAGTAGGACCTTCGCTCTCTGGCCAACCTGTATAGAGCAGATGAATTACCTTAAAAATAAGAGGGTTTATTTTTAAATGTGATGCCCTAATCCTAATTTTTATTGGCATTTAAAAATAAACCCTCTTAGTTTTAAGGTAATTCATCTGCTCTATTTTAAGGCAATTAATTCATCTACCAATAAAAATTAGGATTAGGGCATCACATTTAAAAATAAACCCTCTTATTTTTAAGGTAATTCATCTGCTCTATACAGGTTGGCCAGAGAGCGAAGGTCCTACTTTTCCAACATTATTTTGTGTATTTAGAAGTTGTGTACATCGACTGGCTATTGAATATAAATGCTCAGTCGTCGTGCATTGTAACGCTGGGATTGGTTAGTTTTGATTTTGTATTTGTAGCAATTTTAAAATCTTCAGTTTATAGGCCGAAGTGGGGCTTTTGCTTGTATTGAATTGGCATATAAGCATTTAATCAGTTTCAACCACCATGTCAAAATCGGAACTATTTTCTTACGTTTGAGAGAGCAGCGAGCCATGGCTGTTCAAACGGACCTGCAAGTGAATTTTTTTTAAAAATCAAAAATAAAGATAATCTTTTTTCAGTATCTCTTCGTTCACAAGGCAATTGTCGATGCAGCTATTTGGAAGGGACTGATTGATAAAAGCGATAAGGAGGAGGTGAAGGCCTTCAATAAGGAGTATGATTTGTTAATGAATCGAAAACGTGAAGAGAAGAGGGCTGCTGCTAATAAAATGGATAAGAAGAAGGCGAAATAAAGTGATATGCTGTTTTTGTTTAGGTGTTTGTGAGTTGTGTACATATTATAGGCATTTCCTTCCCTTGTGTTGATTGTCTTTTCCACAAATCTATTGTTGGATATTCTATTCTAAATATATGTATTACCCTATTTTCTGTAATACTTAATTATAATCACCAACTATATTTGTGTTGTGTCTTTCACAAATGCTGTATTGTTCAATTATCTTATAATAATATATGTATGTATATATTTCTTGCAATACCTAATATTTTTTATATAAAATACTGAAAGATTTGTTTTTCTAACTTGAAGTACTATATTATCGGGGAGACATCCAGAAACCTCAAATTCCGGAAATTTCAGCTAACTGAACCAAAAATTAGACCATACGCTCCAAACTTGTGTTCTTTCACAATGTTGTATTGTTACCCCTTATATCCCCAGATTTTGTAAAATCGCCTGTTTTTTTTGACTTGCGGATTGCGTTTGCGGAAATTTTCTACAATTGCATGCATCCCTGCATCAAAGGCTCGTTTAATGGTTCTTAGAGCTTTGAGTATTAAAACTGCCTATCAAGACCCTTCCTCAGGTATACTTTATATTTATAAAATGGAATCCATGGAATGTCTTTTTTTAAATTTCTCACCTCCATTCTTTCCAGATAATTCCAAAACGTTTTTTTAACTTCAGTATTTGATGTCAAAGCATTCATCCGTCCTTTTACTTTAATTGTTCCATATTCCATTTTTTCTTTTCCAATATATTTGATTTCTTCTTCATTAAGTTGAACGATAATCTAAATAAAAATTATTTGTTTCGTTACAAACGTAGATATTAGTCATTTACCTTAGATTTAGTCTCAAAGACCATTGTCCAGAACTGATAACAACTCTGATAATTATGAAGACAGTGTGTCAAGATCAACGGATAATCAGCTCCTTGAACATAGGACGCGTGTATGAAATCATGTCCTAAAAATTCATATTTTTCTTTGTTAGAAAATAGATTTATTCTACTTGCCTTTATATCCATTCTTCAATATGACACGCGGCTGATCAGCCAACGGCACATTGGAATAACGTATAAACTCCTCATTTGCAGGATTGTTAAATGCTGTTGTTGTAGAGTTCAGAGAGTACGGATTCAATTGATTAACAAACTGTTGACGAATAAACGTTATTCCATCTGCACGACAGGAATCTGAAAGTTAACAAAACTTATTTTTGGCTTTGCTTAATAGCAGAACGTGACCGTAATCGGTCGTAAAATTTCCGGTGTCAAAGTTTAAAAACCTTTCAAAATTTTCATTTAGGACAGTTTTTTAAGATAAATTGGTCACCATTATGGTAAGTTCCATATCTCTGACTTACCTAAGAACCAGCGTTTCACAGCATACTCATCATCCTTTTGTTTTTTCACATCTTTTGGTTGAGCAAGGATCCGGCCTGGGACGTAATAAAGACGTTCAATAAAATTTTGATCAGTCTGTTCTGGAGTCGACTGTTTCTAAAAATAAATAAATTTTTGTTAACTAGCGGAGGGGCTTGCCCCATGAAAAACAAAAAAAAAGAATACAAAACAAATTTGAAAAATACACGTTACTTTCTTGCTTTCTCAGAATACACACTATTTATGGGACATTCTGTCATTTTTATTAAAAAATAAACACAACGCCAAACACAACAACAAAAACTCGCAAAATTCAAAGCTGTGGACAAACAAATCATTCTAAAATTTAAGGCATATCCGTTGATTGCCTGAGACATGGGTGAGTATTATGTGTTAATGAATTTTCCCAGCCATTTTACATACCTTGTTATTTATCGCTATTTCCTGTGAATAGCGAAAATTTTATCGATAAAGTTTTATTAAAATAACCGATTAATAAATGACAATTCAAATCTTTAATTGGATTCAGACACCGAAACGGTTAGTTTTCTCAAATATTTTCCTCATTAACAAGTTTATTAGTTAGTTTTAATCTTCACTAGTAGATCTAATCTTCACTAATCTTCACTTTTAATATTTCAAAGGGCAGTGTGATTTTATATGTAACAGGGAAAGAGCGTCCTGAATCCTGAAAATTTCCGAACTCGGGAATTTTATTTTTATATCGGTTCGCTACCTGGTTTAAAAATCCGTTGTTTTGATACATAATACATATAAGTAGATGACCACCGATTTAAAATAATTTAATAGTAAAAAATATAATTTATTTTTTTAAATATGTAAATCAATATAAAATATAAATTTATTTTTTTATCACATTTAATGATTTTTTTCTTCAAATTCCACCAAAAAAGGAAAAAGTTTATATTTAATGATGCATTTAACAAATATAAATATACATATTTTTGGCACTTTTCCTTTGGGATTTAATAAAAAGTCAAAAATTCTATTTCCGTCTTATTTAATTTTTAATACCAAAGTTCTGGGTACATAAAAAGAAAACTAAAAAAATTAATGAATTAATTTTAAATTAAAATAATTTACAGATTCAAAGCAAGTATTGAAAGATAAAACCAAAGACTACAATATTCCAATCTGTTAATTACTCGTTCCCAATAAATTGGTAAATGACCTTTAGTTTTTAATTCTCGACGAATCTTTTAAAATTTTGAAATTAAAAAAATAATTTTATTTAATTAATTACCTCTAATAATTCTCTTAAAAGTGAAATAAGTAAATCTAATTTACAATCCAGCCTTTGATTTTCTAATAATGTACCTAGAAAATTTAAATATAAATCTTTTTCGATTTTTTTTGAAAGGGGTTTTCCTCAAGTAATAATAGGGATAAATCAGAAATAAGGAACTAAGTAGATAAAAATAAGTGAGAAAGGGATTACAAGTAGAGGAGGAGGTTGGAATTTTGAAATACGTACTTTCGTACACAGGTACGTGTACGAACTTCCACCCACTAGTGATAGGCGTATGCCGAAACACAATTAAATATTTAAAATATGCAAGAAACGAATGCGCAAAAAACGTGTTATTAAGCTAAACGAGCACATCCCTAGTTACTGGGTATAATTTTATTCTAGTTTTGATTGAACAAAGATAAGGAAAAAATGAATAAAGATAAACCTCAAGATTATTTAAATTAAATTAGATAGAAATTTCAATTAAAAATAAATTTTTTAAAGAATATTTCAATTAAAAATACACCTCATTGTATGATATATGTAATTTTTTATGAATCAAGGTCCTATGTAAGGTTCAAGTAAGGTTCTGTGCTATGTAAGGTTCTGTGTCAAGACTTGAAATAACGATCACCCCCCCCCCACCCTCCCTCCACAATTTTTAATGAACAAAATATTAAATTACAATTACTAGATCCTCCTTCATTAATTCCACCACTTACTCCCCCACTACCCAATAACAATAAAGGTGCTGTAGATGTAGAACTAACAATCATTGGATCTATAGAATTTTCTCCTAAATTAGTTGTTGATTGTTGTTGTTTAGCTTCTCTTTTTTGAAATTCAGTAAAATTTAACTTTAAAAATTATTATAATTCTTTAATTAACAAAATTACTTCATTTGGGGCCATTGTACTAAATTCCATTGAAGTTGATTGAAAATGATTACAACGGATATTCTTTATAGAAAAATAATATTTCGTTAAATTAAATTTCAAATATTCACCTTATTTCTTTTAATTCTTTCACCTTTATTTAGCCTAACTTTTCGAGGGACATAACAACAAAATAATTTTTCTGCCGATAAAAATCGTAAAAAGTTGGGAATGGACTAAAAAATAAAATAAATTTTATTTTGAAAATTAAAAACAGTAAAGTTATTTAATCAAATTTTATGGTTTTAGAAATATATTTCACGTTAAATATTGACTAATGAAATGTTTCTAGTCGAATCCTAATTTTAGATACCTCCATAGGAGATAATAAATCATACCTCATAAATAATAAAGAATACTTTAAATAAGTTTGCACGAGTTCAAGACCTCGTCGGGTCCTCACCCATTTTCCAATCTCGGCCTACGATCGACCGGCCTCGGGTCTCGGAACCTCGGTCCTCGCCAAGAACCTCGCCGAGAAACCAGGCTAAATACACACCCCTAAGAATTGCCTTTTTTGCAAGAAATGGACCTCGTGCAACTCTACTTTAAAAAAAGTATGGTAACTGCGCCATGTGAAAACCAAAATTAAAAATTTTAAACGGAGTTTGTTAATTTTTTGTTTTATCTAAATGAGGTTCGACTGTATTTTGATTTTATTAAAATTTTGGATAATTTCGTAAAAAAATAAAAACAAACAGCAAATCCAGAATTTCTAAGGCCATATTTTTCTAAATGAACAAAAACAGAAGAAGTACAGGTAGCAACAGAAATTGTTAAAATTAAGGACATATAATAAATACCTTTTTAATTAAATATTTAAAAATATTTCTTTAGAAAAACCAATTAAAGGAACATCAGAAAATGACCCTCTTTGACCTGGAATTGATTCTAGAGCAAATTTCATTTCATCAACAAGCATTAATAACATAACTGATAAACTCAACTAAATATTTCTTTTATTTCATTTAAAATTATTAATAGATAATACATTAAATTAAATATGTTAATGATATTTTATTTTATAAATTTTTTAAATTTTTTAGTGCTTTTTGAGGAAAACCAAGGAAAACCCATGAGGAAAATTTTTGAGGAAAACCGAGATCATGACCCTTAATTTAAAAAAATTATAAAGGCTCAAATAAAATTTTATTTTCTATTATTTCATTAAAGTGAGATTGTATCTTGGCTTCTATGGTGGCATAGTTTAACTTTCGAAAGTTAAATTTTGAATTTCTCACATCGATCAGCTCATGAGTGATCAAATATTTTCTATTTTCTACCACAAAATATTTCTAAAAACCCACCAAAGTCATAACACCTAAACGAAATTTACTTTCCCTTCTCCCAGTAGCATTTATCGGAGCATGAAAACCAATTACAGCAACAAGCGATACCTTATTTAAATTTTAAAATAAATTTTAAAATTTAAATTTACCAAAGTTGTTGGAAAAACTAAATTAAAAACATAATAAAAAGATTGTCTTCTCAAAATTAAAATAATTTGAACCATCGAGAATGATTCGTTCCCCAAATATTCCATTGTCCCGTTTTGCATTATTGCATCTATCTACAAATTATTTATTTATTTATTTTTTAAAATTATTTATGAAAATAAGGTTGTCAGTTGTTGATACCGAAAAACCGAAAATTTGGTAAATTTGGTAAGACAACCTTATTTAGGTATGTGACATAAAATTCGAAAATGATTCGCTTCCCAAATATTGTTTCCCAATTCGTTTTTCAATAAGATAAGAACTATAAAAAATTATAAAAAATATTTTTAGTTTACCAAAAGCCATTCTTGATTGTCATAAAAATCCCCAAGAAATACTTCACTTGAATCAACAGAAAATCTAACAAATTGTGATTGATATGACCATGAACCTATCTGTTAAAATAATTTAAATTTTTTATCAATTTAAATAATTATTAAATTGTTCTCCAAATATTTTTCCCAAATTTTTTTCACAAAAAAATAAATATTTATTTTACTAATATTTTTTACTATTCTTTTATTTATCCCATCCACCCTCGCTTTATTTATTTCCTTTTTTCTATTTAAAATTGTTAGTTTCCGCATGCCATCGGGTTGGCACAGGTAAATACTCTTTATCCTTTTTTTGAGGATTTTTGGGGCATTTTTCTTTTACTTTTCTCTCCAAGGAAAATATTTTTAAATTTTATTTAGATAATTTTAAATATATGGAATTTTATCTGATAAATTTTAAATTAAAAAATATAATTATTTATTTATTTGTTTGGCTAAAAATGTCCCAAACTATTTCTGAAGAAGAACAATTATTATTTTCAAGTTCTCCCCCACCTTCCCCTATTGTCAATATAAACAATAAAGTGAATGAATTGGTTGACCAAGTTTTTATTTTTTTAATTTAAAATAAATTAAATTTTTAAAAAAAGATTGAATCTATAGATGTTTCTTCTAATCAAATAATTATAATAACGACTAGACAAGGACCTCCAGATATGGCTAGAGTAGCGGTGATTTAATGAAAATTATATAGAAATAATTAATTAAATAGATACAAGTTGTTGATATCGAAAGTGGGGAAGTATTGCCACATATGAATTTAACTGGAATTTTGTTATTGCTTACTAGAGGTATTTAAAGCATAAATAGATTATTAATATATTAAAGGAGCAATCTTTAAATTTAGAAAATTTAAATTTGGCAAAGGAATGAACATCTCTGTTTGGGCATGATTGGGAAGATGCCTTCTATCCATTTATTAAAGATTTTGGTATAGGGGTATCTTTAGAGAATGGGGTTGGATGTGGGGCACATACGATTGTGCTCTGATTTGGTTGCTTTTGGTTGGTTGGGTTGCTTCTTTGCTTCTTCTTCTTTGTTACTTCTTCTTGCTTCTCTCTTTTTTTTTCTTCTTTTTTTCTTTTTTCTTCTTCTTCTTCTTTTTCTTTTGGGTTGCTTCCTTAATGATTCCATTCCAAATTCTCGTCCAACGACTCAAAATTTAAGGAAAAAATAAAATTTTTAATATCCCTATTTTCCTTAATCCTTCTTAGAATTTCCTAAACAATTAAAGGTAAATATACAATAAATTGGTTACAACCAAATCATTGGTATGGAGTGTATTTTAGGGCAGAACAGAGGTAGGAGGGAAGGGAATATTTAAATAAAATATTTTAAAAAAGATATGGAGGAGGAACGGCAATTTATGCCAACGAAGAATTTTATTTATTAAAAACAAAAAAAGCTGAAGGAATTAATGGAGAAGGGGGGAAGCCAATAATTAGTCTTAGGTAAGTAAAAAATAATTCAGAAAATAATTCAAAAACAAAGATCCTCTCGAAATCAAGAAAATGGGCATTCTCTTGAAAATTTAATTTTAACAATTAAATGGGAACAACCAAAAGAAGAAAGGTTTTTAAGAATAATAATTTTAAATTAATTTTTTAAAGGCAAAATTTGGATGCTTTAGCTAATATAACATTATTTTGTAATAACCAAATAAATTATAAACAATTAAAATTAAATGGAAAAGAAGAAAATAAATCTTTAGAAATTTATGTAAATTAATTAATTTTTTAAGTTTAAAAGTCAAAATCTCATTATATTATGCCCCCAATAATAGGTAAACCTCTATTTAATGAACGTTTTTAAAAATAGGTTGAGTATAAGATAGGGGACTTGATTGAGGGTAGAGGAGTTGGCTAAGTAATACTTTCAATTTTAGGTATCGGGTAGAGGGGTACCGTGATACGCTCAATTTAAGATACCCCTCATTATAAGATACCTCTCTTTTTCAGCCCTAAGGGGGTATCCAAAAAAGGGGATTTAAAAATAAATATTCTTTTAATTTTTTAAGTTGGACAATTATTTTGAAATAAATGAGGAAAAAAATAAAAATATTAATAACAGAGAAATAAATGTATTAATTAGTCCAAAAAATTGTACAAGGTTAAATTTAAATTAATTAATTAAAAATTAATTTTCAAAAAAGAATTTGTTGGAATGTTGAATTAATTGCTGAAATAAATTTAAAAATATTTAGAAGAGCGGCAACACAAAATTGTGAAGAATTGGGAAAAGTAAATAGAAAATATTTAAAAATATTTATTTTTATTTTAGATAAATACAAAAACATTTTTAAGAAATTTTGTTGGATATGAATTTAATAATAAAAATAATAAATTAATTATTTATACAAATTATAGTGAAGGGTTGAATAAAGGAAATAATGAATTAAATGGATATGTTAAAATAACTGTTAATGAGGTAGTACAAGAAGAAGGAGGAAATGAGGGAAAGAATCAAACAAGTTTTAATAAAACATTTAGGTAATAAATTTGAGAATTTATTAGGATTTTTGTAAAATATTTGAGGAGAGTCAAAATATGTATATTTGAGTAGAGGGGGTAAGATTGAGAGGGAGAGCCCCCTCAAAAGGGGTTTATTCAAAGAACGACTCTTGATATTTATAATTAACCTGAACGGTTTGGATTGCCTAGCTTAAAAGCTAATTTAAAGCTAATTTAAAGATAATTAAGAATTTCAGATTAAAACATATTTATACATATTTATATTTAGTACAGAAAATAATGAGAATAACTTTGTTATGGAAGGATTAGAGAAGGGCAAATATTATGCAGTTCAATATACAGTAATTAAATATTTTTTATAGTAAATAATACAGTCAAACCTCACTATAAAATACATACGTGGAAATGAAGATATAATGAGTTCATATTAAATAGAGGGTATCATCTATGTAGGAAGCTCCCGACTAGGGTTGCCGGTTTCAAACCGATCCGAAAACCCGCAGATTTTCAGTTCAATTAGGTTCGGGTTCGGTTAACCAAAGAATTTGGTGAAACCGACAACCCTACTCCCAGCCCTATAACCACCCTAATTTATAAAAAGTATTGAGGTTATTTTATAGTGAGATTCGACTCTAGAAGAATTTTAAAAAATATCAAATTTTAATTAAGTATGGAAAAACATCCCCTTTTGTTTATGAGGAATCTCATCGTTTTTTGATAAATACTGGTTCGACGAATGAACCTTTAATTTGGCAATTTAATTTAACAAATGAAAAAGGAATTAAACCAAATGTTTGTAAATATTTAAAGTTAAAATAAGAAATAATTTTAAAGGTAATTGCTACAGCAATACTTTTATTTAAAAATTATGAATTAGGTGTAGATGTAGAACCTTTGTGTAAATCTGATGATAAGGTAAATAAAAATAAATTTACAGTAAATAGAGATAATATTGGGAGTTCTTAAAGAAAGATATTTTTGGATACATATACCCAATACGAATGAAGCTCAATTTAAAATAAATTTTTTTATATCTGGTTCCCACGTGGAGGGAAGCTTTCTAAAAGATATCCCTCTATCCGATGAAAACACCACTACTATAGATATGATTTTTCAGCTAAAAGGGTTATCTTAGAGTGAGATCCAACTAGGGCTGTCTGCAATTGCGGATTGTGTAAATTGCCTAGTTTTTTGGACTTGCGGAATGCGGATTGCGTCTGTGGATTATCACGCTATTTTTTCACTGCGGACAGCCCTGGATCCAACTCTATTAAATAAAAATCTAATTTAATTTTCAATAAAAATTTTTTTTAAGAATCTTCTTCATTTTTGGCTCGATAAAACGCAAAATAAAAAAGAATTAAGCGAATTAAATATTCTAGATGCCCTTTGTACAATTTCCCCCAAACACAGTATTTGCCAAATCCCCGGGAATGCAGTAATGATTAAAGGGTGTTTAATTAATAATTCTGGTAATTTGTGTTGGATATCAAGTATTGTTGTTAATGAAAAGGTTTTTTAACATTTTAAATGAAGAAATTTTTATTTAAAAGTTATATGCTGGAGAAAGAAAATGTTTATCTTTAATTAATTCTATCCCTCAATTACCACAGACAACTACAATAATTGGAGGTAATTTAAAAACACAGTCAAACCTCATTTTAAGATACTATATCTCTATATTATACATACCTCTATTTAAGAAACGTTTTTAAAATATGGCTGGCGATTTGGGTGAGAAATTTTGCGGCGATACCCTCTATTTAAGGAATCCTCGTTATTAGCGTTATTAGATATAAATTTTCAATCCCTAATGGTTAGGGTTGGCGGAGCGGATATCCACTCCGCAAAACCTCGGATATCCGAAATTTTCGGATCGACTATCCAGGGATTTCTAAGGATCCGGTAACCCAATTAAAAGTTTATCCTATAGGGGGTTAGACTATTGAATATTTTAAACTTTTAAGGAAATATTTCCGCAACTCAAAATTTAACAAAAAATATTTCAAAATCAACGAAAAATAATAATTCTAGAATTGAAATAGAGAAAAAATTATTTTTATTATTTTTAATTTTGTTTGTTTATTTTAAAATAAAATAAAAACAAACCAAAAAAGTACAATTTTGCATATCATAAGGGAAATGTTTAACTAAAAAATAAATTTATTTCGGGGAAAAAGGTTTTTTTCTAAACCATTAATTGGGCATAAAGCACGGGAAGTAATTGGAACAAAAAGACGAACTTGCCCATCATAGTGAAGTTGTGCCATTGCACTAGGGTCATATTCTGGAGTTCTGCCTTGAATACTTAAAAATAAAATAAATTAATTTCATTCAGAGAAGGTAAAAATAATTTCCATTTATGTTAGGGTTGGCAATACAAAAATATCGAATTGTAAGCAAAAACTAAGGAAGCTAAAGAAAATAACGAAAAATTTTTTTAAGCCTTTCTCCATATAATACTTTAAATTTTCAACCTAATTAGTTAACGAATTAATAATAAAAATCTTCCAAAAAAAATTTCGCGGTCGACAGGATTCGAACCTGTGCGGGCAAAGCCCAATTGATTTCTAGTCAATCTCCTTAACCACTCGGACACGACCGCTTAACGGCTAATTTTATTTTATTCCCTCAAAAGTTTCAGTTTAAAAGTTGGAAAGGCCGGTTCCAGTGAAATATTAATAGTCTTCTCAATTTTTATGAAGAAACGGCAAAATATGTCGAATGAGATAAAAATTAGACTTTCAGATTATATAATAAACACGTGGTCGATAATCTAGGCAATGACTGAATATTTTTGTTAACTTCTTAACAATTTTTAATTATTTTTTTAAAAAATAACCTATGGTAAAGATAAAATTCCGGTCTCCATACCTTTAAATAAATATTTATTAATTTTTATATTCACAAACTACCCATCTAAGAGGAACAAAAGTAGTTGTTATTCCATCAAATTCACTAACATTCCAATTAAGAAAAGCATCTTCCCAATGAACGTCAAAATAAGCGGAAAGTGTTGCCAAATTATTTCTTTGATCCTTTAAAATAATTTTGGAAATAATTAAAAATTAATTTTTAAAAATTACTAAATCAACAATTTGATAAAGACTACAACGGACATGTACTTCAATAGTATCATGGGAATGTTTAACTGGACGTCGATATGGACGGGTAAGTGAACTGAAAATTATTTTATATTTTCAAATTATATAAAGCCCCAATATAAGATACTCTCTTTGGGCCAGAAAAATGTATTTTAGAAGGAAGTGTACATTACATAGAGGGTATTGCTTGGAGTTCCCTTTCAATAGTCAACCAGATAACCACAAAAAATTTATCCTAGACAGAAGTATATCAGGGGTGGGTGGGCTATATGGATGGGATGGGGGGGGGGGAGTGGGATGGAGGGGGGATGGGATGGGGTATGGAGGGGTTATATATGAATATATGGATGGGCTCCCCCTATATCCGCCTATATGGATAGGCTCTCTTCCGCTTTTTTTGCAAAATCTTTCGCAGAATTCCACCTTAGTTACCGCGATCCGCTTTTTAAAATGCGGCAAGAACCATCCCCGAGATCTATATCTAGTATTGAGAGTATCTTATAATGTAGTCAAATCATTTTATTATAACCGTATCCTCTCATTTAATCTACTATTTGGATCATCATTAATTATTAACAAATTATCATCTTCCTCCAAAATTTCTGTTTGTTGTCCTCTTTTCCAATTATTAACTCCAAAATCTGTTGAGGATTGTTTCCTTGATTGCCCACGCTTTTTTGCAGCAGTAAATGCTTTAAACAAGTTTTTAGAAAATAAAAATATTAAATTTTAAAAAACCTTCTGTTTTGCATTGATTTAATAATAAAAATATAAAAACAAACAAAATAATTATTAATTGAGTTATTAAACAAAATGATGATATATTTTGAATTGACATTTAAATTAAAATAATTAAATAATCTAAAAAAATAAAGTAAATAATGGTAAAGTTTAGAGGATTGTTTTCGAACCTCACATTTGAATACAATATTGATAGTAAAAAATTTATACGTAAAATCGGGTTTATTTATTATTGAGGATATTGCTTAAGTAAGGGGCCCTTGCCTAAGGGTAAACAAAATTTAAAAATTCAAAATTAATCAAGTCCGATTTTAATAATTTTGATTTAAATGATAATTACTTAATTTAATCATAAAACATAGATGGACACAACCTGTTAATACCGGTTATTGGTTTATCGAAATTTAAAAACCCCGGTTTTCGGTTTTGTGTTTCTTTCACTCATCTTCATAAATTTCCATTTTTCGGTTTAAAAATTTTTATAAAAACGGTTAATTTTTGGCAAAAAAATATCAAAATTTCCGGTTTTAAGGCCATCATGTACAAAAAAAGTAAAAACTAAAAAATATTTTTTAATTAACAAAATAATTATATTTTTATTTAATTATAACATTTATTTAAATTTATAAAGAATAATTAAAATTTCGAAAAATTAAAAATAAAAAGGGGAAAATATTGACGAGTATTATAGCAAAAAATATTAGAATAATATTATGTGTCTGTTAATAAAAAATTTTTTTCTGGTTTCTTAACCACAGGAAAGGACGTAAAAAAGTGTTGTTACTTCTTTTTATTTAAAAAAATTTTTATAATCCCTCAAAAAAAGTTAAATTAAAAAAATATTTTAAAAAGCACTATTAGAGATAAAATGGATATATATTTTGTCTCTTTTTTTATTAACCTATACAACATACATACTTTTACTTAAATATTCCTCCCCTTATGTTCTCCTTTTACTTCCTCACACCAACGGATTTTATGTTCCGTTATTTTATGTTCCCTTAAAAATTATAGTAAATATTTCCTTTTCTCGTATATCCTAAAGAAGAGGAAAGATTTTTTGCCACATTATTGGATGAACGTTTTTTATATAGCACCTATTATTTTATTTTTTTGGTGTCGCGCTAACATTTTTTTCAGTTGGAAAAAAATATTTTTTTTGTTAAATATTTTTTTTATTCTTTTCAAAAAAAAAGAAAATGAGAATAAAATTGGCATTCTTTTATTTCCAATATATTTTTACAAGGTCTAGGTATATCAAAGAGGAAGTACGGAAAATCTCTCCCGTCTCGCACACAAAGTGCCGGATGTTGCAAATTATTTATTGAAAGGAATCAAAGGGGGAGAGAATTTTTATTTTTAAATTGTGAAAATATATTATAGTAAAAGGTATATATATTAAAGGTATATATATATTATAGTATAATGTGGAAAAATTAGCCAGCTTTAGGGAATGGCTGATGGGATCTTTGAAAATAGGGGTCTTTGGGTACCTGATTAAATTAAAGATCGGACTGAGATATCGTACGATAATCGAGATCTGTATCTATAAAATTATATATCTTGATAACCTAGATTTCTGTTAGAGCTCCAATCTCGGTCCGATCTTTATTTAAACAAACTTTGATTTTGGAAATGATTATGGGCATTTTAAAGATTAAATTAAACTTTTAGTAGATAAAAAGTAATTATTGAATTAAAAATAGAAGTTTAATGCTGTCCCGGTTCCAAAAAAACCTACGGTTTCAAGATTCTGTTTCATGACAGTTCCAACTTTTTGACGGTTTCCGGAACCGCTACATAATTTACTAAGACAAAATAAAAAAATAAAACAAAAATATTTTAACAATTTTCTCCAAAAATTTTAAAAAGTCATGCGTCAATGTTTGCGTCACAATTTTTGGGTATTTGTTACACTTTCCTTCCTAACTATCATTTTTCTCTTTGCAAAAGCTACTAATGTGCCGATGTTGTTTTTGGCAGGTTTACTAAAAACCTTTTCTTTATTTAAAGCTTTATTCAGTATATTTATATCTCAAGGGAACCATTGCGTATTTTCAGCAAAAAATATCGAGTAAATACTACCAAAAATCGAACAAGCATGTAAAAGGATATATAAATATGACAAGAAAAAAGAGAGAAGGAATTATCTTTAATTTAATATTAATTTACATTTTTTAAAGAAAAAAATATGTAAAAATTATGTAAAAAGAAACAAAAAATGGTACTCTTTTCGGTTCTGCCACACCCAACAAAATTAATGCTCAAAATGTCTTATATAGGGTAATAAAGGGTGCTGATTCGAACGGTACCACTGATTTTTCCCGGAGATGCATGTGGACTGAGATATAGGAGGAAGTAGGTCAATAACCATAGGAGGAAGTATGCTCATTTTTGGGGTAAAAAATTCAAATGTGCAGTTAGAAGTTCATTCGTAAATGCTCAACGAGCCAAAAACGAAAAATATTTTTATCTTTAATTAAATACGAACAAATATTTTTTTGAAATTAAAAAAATATTTTTCTTAGAAAATAAAATAAATTCCTTAAAGTTCAAAAGCTTTCTCCTTTCCAAATAGCCGTTACTATTGAAAATGGAGTCATTGGAATATTCCAACTTCGATTACCTTCTTTAACAGTAACATTTAAATTTACTTGATTTGAATTGAGTAATACAAGAATTCGATTACCTTTTTTTAAATTTTTTTTAATTTTAAAAATCACAATTTAATTTACCATTTGGAGTAATAAAAGCAACATGCTCAATTTCTTTTTCAATTCCAAATAAATTATCAATTGAATTAAAAATACATTTTAAAGATATTAATTTGTCTATAAATAATTATAAATAATTCTTAAATTTTAGAATTAAAAAAACCTTTTTCTTCACAAATTGTTGTGGAAAGGGTTGAAGAAATTACTACTGAATCTCGAGGTATAAAATTACTAAAATATTTTGTTTAACTTTATCATAATTCCAAGTAAATAATTATTTTTAGTAGACTTGGTAATGGACATGGATTTGGTATCTTTATCCGGATATTTATGGCGAATATGGGCGGATATCCTCATGCATTTTGAAATTATCTGTATCCATATCCGTATCCATTACAAAGTCTGATTTTACGTTCAGTTCTCTTTTTAGATGCTCTCTTGGGGTTGAAAGAATCGTATTGGGAATGTCATAGGTTATAATCCGAGGTCCAGTATTTAAACCTGATCCGTCTTCTTTCTCAATCCGTGAAATCTCCGAATATTGCCCTATAACGAGGGGCACATTAAATGATGGAAACTACAAAATTTTGAGAGTATCTAAGAATGAGATTCAACTGTTTATTTACCTAAAATGAGCCAAAAAATAAAATGTTGGTTGTTTATAAAATTCATCAGCAAAAGCATTTACTATAATCTTTAAAATATTTATTTAGAAAATTAAATTATTTATTTAAACAAACAGGTGCATCAACAAAATTTCTAACCCAATTAGGGCCTCCTTGAAGATCAAGACCTAAATAAGATTAAAACAAATATTCAAATAATTTAAAATACACAAATTCCAATCAATCCATCCAATAACCCAATTTTTTAAATTATTTAAAATATCATGTCCATATGCTTGTCCTCTAAACCAAGCACCAAGTAAAGGTTTGTGTTCCCATGGTAAATAGGCATTACAAGCCTTAAATATTTAATTTTGAGATAAAATGATACACCCGATTCGAAGTACACCCATAAAAGATACCCAATGATACTAGCTATCTCTTAACTCAAATTAGCTATCTAGTAGATCTATTAATTGATACTTTATATAAATTTGATCTAAGAGATAGCTCTAATTAAAGATAAACTCCGTTATAAAATTCTACGATTTTTCTAAAGGTGTATACTATATACTCTAATTTAAGTATTTTTAAATTTAAATTACTTCTGTTGCCAAAATAAATTTATCTGGTTGAATATTGTGTGCTTGACTGAGAACTCCATAATCTGTATGGGAATACCAATGAGTACCTAATCCATCAATTGCTGCAGATTTTTGAGGGTCTTCATAAATCTAATTTAGATTACTTAAAATTAAAAAAAGCTAAAATAAAAACTTTTTTAGCAGTTTTATATACTCCGCTTCTTTGGTCATCATGTGCAATTATTTTTAATTTATTTGTAATATTAGATTCTTTTAAAATTGGAGATAATAAATTTAAAGCAAAATCTCTTTTAAAAAATTGTTTTTTAAAAATTTAATTTCAAAAGATTTTTTTCCAGATACCTTTGCATTTTGGCAGAAAAATACATTGCTTGCCAACCATAGAAAGGAGTAATACCAGCAGCTAATAATAGAATAAATCAAAAATTTAAATTAAATTTTAATTTATTTAAATTTTAATTTTAAGACTTCTAATGGATATAAGTATGTAAGTGGGGGATAATGATACTAATTGAGAATTCTCAAATGGATATTTCGCCCAAAAATACGAAAATAATAGGACAAACAACAAAGAAAATTTATCCTTTTTGGTTCTATTGTAATTGCAATACATAACTAGGGTTTCCGGTTCTTGGAACATCTTCGGATATCCGGAACAGAACAGAAAAATACTCGGTTCTTCGGTTCGGTTCTGAACCGACAATCTACATAAATTTATTTAATTACTTGGCTCATTTTCTATAGTCATTCCCCAAAAATTAATATTTTTTGTAGAATATTCTTCAAAAAATCTATAAATTATATTTAAAATAATATTTATAATTAATTCCCACCTTCTAAGGTAAAGTGCATATGTTTTATAATAAATACCATTAAAAGGGCCTTTTAATTCCCCCGGTCCTTTCATTCTTCCACTTGTTTTCATCCAACCTGGGGCTGACCTAATTAAATAAATACCTATTTTAATTATAATTATTTTTGTAAACCATGGTGAAGCTAAAAGCTCTAAATTTCCTTTAGTTAAATTAATAGCCGACAAAATATGTGGAATCTGACAAAAAGAAGATAAATAAATTAAAAATTTTAATAATTAAATTAAAAATTATAGTCAGACTTCACTATAAGATACACCCCAGGATCTGAAAAAAGTTGTATCATATAAAGTAAAGCTGAACTGAACTATATCTACATATTTCTCCTTTGGCAAATGCAAAAGGTTATTCGGCGCCTGAACCGAACCAAAATCTTCAGTTAAAGGGACCAATGGGTTATCCCATTACACATCGCTTTAGTAATTAAATAGGTATCTGCTCTACAATAATGAGTTGTTCTTAAATTTCTTTCCCACCTATTTAGTTGGCAAAAAATTAAAAAAATATTTTAATAGAGGTTTATCTTGTATTAGTGGGCATCTTATGGTATTTATAAAACCAAATATTTTTAATTTTTTTACTTTCAATTCATAATCTTCAGGTGCAAGTTTAAATTCATTCAAACTAAAATTATTTGGAGTATCCATATAAGAATATTCATGTGTAGAAAAATCACAACTAGCTATAGGTACACGTCCAATATTGTATTTAATACCTTTTTTATTTTTAAATTTATTTTTTTAATTTATTTATTTTACCATTTTCTTCACTAAAGTATTGCTCTAAAAGTTTTTGTCTAGTATCAACACTTAACTGATTTAAATTAATTCCAACAGAATCAGTAAAAGCGCCCCCAAATCCAAATATTTTTTGAAATTTTTGTGAAGAATTAATTTTTATTTGAATTTCTTTTATTTTTAATTCTTCCCCATTTTCTTTCTCAATTAAAAAACGTTCTAGTCTAAATTCAGATTTATCAGATAAATAATAAACTAATTGATCATCCTTAATTTCTCCTAAAGGAGGAGGAGAATCACAAATTTTTGATGAACAAACACAAACAAAAGAATCAAGGCCATAACTATTTATTTAAATATTTAATTTAAATAATTTATAGACAAAACCTTTTCTTTTGGCAAGGTATTGTTGCTTTAATTAGTGAATAAAATGTTGATAGAAAATATAAAAATAATGAAGAAAAGAGGAAAAATGAATTAAAATTTAAACAATACATTTACATATATATATTTAAAAATAATTTTAATTAAAGTTTATTTAAAGAAAAATCTAAAAACTTTAAGAATGAGAGTAAGCTTTATGAAAGAAAAAATAAGGAGAAAAGTATAAATAAAAGGAAAATATTGAATTCAAGGTTGAAAAGACAAGAAAAAGTTTAATCTTTTCTCTGCAATATATAAATAAATTAATTCTATTTAATGATTGAAATCGATCAACATTTATGTAAAAACAATTGGTACATATTTAAAAAAAATATTTTATTTAAAAAAATAATACATACTATATGTATAATAGAGATAAAAGTTGATTCTGAATCCAATTTTTCGAGGAAGAATGAATTCATTTTTATAACAATTGTTGTCTATTTTTTAATATGTACATAGCAGGGATCTAGCCGACATAAAAATTCAATTCCCGATTTTCGGGAATCGGGACGGTTTTTTTTTAATTTTCGGAATCCCTGGTACATAGTACATACTTACAAAAATTTTAAAATATGTATATACTATATACATATTTAAAAATAAATTTAATAAAAAGAAATTTAAAAAATAAATTATTTTATTCTGATATACATACTTATTCCAAATATGTACAAGCTGCCGTTATCGGTAAATTGAAGTTCGTATACCACCCCCCTTTTTTTCCCTTCATCAAGGTATTTAAAATGGTCAGGATTGTCGGCCCGAAAATGAGTCGAAAAGGCGATGATTTTTCGCTTTGGTTCCAGATATCCAAAGAGCATCCAAATCAATTTTTCGAGTAAGTTCGGGCTAAAGGTTGCTGACTCGTTCGATCTATCGAGTTGAATTAGAAATCCAAAATATAATATAAAATACAAATGAGAAACTAAGACACTCAATGCCTTTGATTTTGTGCAGTCTTGGAAAAAAATCTGTGATAAAATTCTTTCCTATCTAAAATTTTTTTTATTTTTCACTCTACTTAGTCTCAAATCTAGTATCAAATAAGAATCAATTTCCTAGTCAAAACTCTTTTTTTCATTTTTTCATTGCTTTCCCAGCAACTCTAATTACTGTATAATTTCTTAAACTTTAACCATTATTTTAAGGATGAATAAAGGTAAATGAAGAACACAAGCTAAATATTATTTTGAGGTCATCAAATACTAGACGAACATTTCAAATACTAGACAAATACTTATTATTTAGTTATAAAATAAATAATAATCAGACTTGCCCCCTCATTTTTTCATTGCTATCTTAATATACATTAGTACATTTATTATACTTTATTAAGGTCATTTTCTCCGTTTTTCATCGAAAATTTTTCTAAAAACTCAGTGTTGTAGGTGTAGTAAAACAATTTATGTAAAATTCAAAAAAATATCTTTTATAAAATTAATTTTTTAATAGTAATTTAAAATAAAATCTAAAAATATGAAATTTAAACAACTGAATAATTCAAAAATAATTCAAAAAAAGCAAAATAAACATTTACCACTTGAATTAATTTTTGAAATATTTAAAGTACAAAAATTTCCACTAGGTCCAACAGATACTTTGGTGAAGCTGCATAAAATATAGTAAGTAAAAATAAAACGGATTTAGCATTTTAAAGATTATAAATGAAGTTTACTAGGCAAATACAAAATATTTAGTGAGTTTTTTTTGTTTTTGAAGATACATATAGTAGTGATGCTCGGGAGAAGAAAAAACCCGGGAAACGGGAGTCGGGTCGGGAAATGACCTCGGGAGTCGGGATCGGGAGTCGGGAATTAGCAATAAAAAAATTTTTGGCGCCTTCGGCGCCAAAAATTCCGATTTTTTGCACCATAGGCAAAAATATTGAAAATTTTGGCAGGTAAAGAAGCCTTACTAGCGCCGCAGGCGAAAATTTTGAGAATTTTTAGGTCTTGAAGTTAGATTTCTTCCATTTTTTGCGCCGCAGCCAAAAATTTTGACTCTCATTGGAGTGAAATATCTCTTCATATCCCTCTATAGTGAACTATCTTTAAGGGTAACTTAAGAGTTTATTTCACCGATTATTTGGAAAGATAAGCCAACAGCCTGTCCAAAAAACCTAGTCTTCAAATTCACCATAATCCTAGTAAATCACCGAAATCTTCTATACTAAAACTCCACAGATTCTTCTGTTTTCAGCGCCGCAGGCGAAAATTTTGAGGAATTTGGAAGATCCTTAAGCCAAAAATCTTCCCTTTTCAGCGCCGCAGGCGAAAATTTTGGGAATTTTAGGAGACCAAGAGGCCAGATTTCTTCATTTTTTATAAATGAAAATATAATTTTGTCAGAAAAATCCATTCTTAGGGGTGTAAAAATTTCCCGACTTAATCGGGAATTGACACCGGGAGTCGGGATCGGGATCGGGAGGCCAAAAACTCGGGAAATTTTCCCGAGTCGGGAGTCGGGATCGGGATACCCGAGCATCACTAACATATAGTTACTAAAAAGTGATCTCATCTTCATTGGCTCTATAAATTATAATACCTATTTGATTTCCAATCCCGATTTTATAATACTGAACTTGAATTTTTTAATTTCAAAAGAGGGGCCTGAATATGCTGATTTCTGGGCTAGATTTCTGGGCTTTTTTATTTTTAAATTTATTTTTTAGATTTATTTTACCATTTTCCATTCCATTTTTGCCGCTTCTCGGCTTAGGTTTTTACAATTTCGATTAGGGTTGCCAGCTTGCTTGAATCGAAACTCGAAAGATCGAGCGAGCCGAGGCTTTTAAGCTCGAAAACGAACCGAATCGAAAAAAACCAAGCTCGAAATGAATGCACCGAACGTCGGCTCGAACCGAAAACGGCAACTTTTTTTGGTCCTCTTCCGCCAAAAATACACCTTCTAATGCGGCCATTATTTTTGAAAAAATTTGCTCTGGCCTTCCTAAATTTTTTCTGACGGCGCTAATAATGAAAAAAGCTTGCCTCTTGGTTTTCCAAAATTCTCAAAATTTTCACAGCGGCGCAGGCGAAAATTTGGAAAATAGAAAATTTTTTTAACTGTCTCAACTATGTATCTCCTTGAAAAAAGCAACCAGACCCATACCTAATATGCACTAGGATATAGGTCACCAAAAATCGAAAAATTAGCTCATTTTTGTCTAAGCTCGCCTTCGGTATACTGATTATTAGTTTTTATCCGCACCGGACTTTGTCAATACCGCAAATAAAAGTTTTCTGATAAATATATCCGGGATTTCAATCGTATCCGTATATCCTGAGATTCGGTCGGATCCGGATACTCGCTGATTTCCCAGGAATTTTCAAC